TGAAAATTGTAGAGATGGAATGCTTTGTTGATTGGGGCAGTGGATCTAAAATTTGGTATTCGGTCCCAGCCTCAAATTAGCCCCTCTACATGATAACTTTTTTTCGTTGACGTTGTTTTTTCTTTTTTAATTTACATTTTGTATACCAAATCTAAAATTTGTTTCCTTCATCATGGTGATGGCACCCTCTACGCAACACCCAAGAAAGTTGCTGCGCAGACATTTGAACTCGAGATGATTTACGTTGATGTATTTTCTTTCCCGTTGGACAGCTACAAAGACACTCATACCCAGTCGTTCATGATAGTAATGCGGCAGTCTCCTTACCCCCATCCCCAACGCTTATAGAATTTGAGTGAAAAAATATTTGGCCTCGAGATGGCTTACGTTGATTTATTTTCTATCTCCATGGACAGCTACCAAGACACTCATACCCAGTCTTTTGTCATGGTAACGGCGAGTGGCAGATGGTTCGGTGTTCGTCTGGATGCAATCATTTCTCTTTTAATAGGCTTAGTCGTCTTAGTGGCAGTTTTAGTATCTCAAGACGCCGGTATGTAGAGTTTTATCCAAAGTAATTGCACCATTTCACGCTCATGTACACCCAAAAGCTATGATATTCCACCTGATAAGACTGTGAAAAGTATCTTTTGGTGTATAGCTGGGAGACAAAAACAAGTCGTTGTAGCCCATTTCATCACTATCTTCATGGGAACGATTGAAACTAGTTTGATTATAAAAAATGTTTTCCAAAGTAATTCATCATATCACACGAGTACTGTCGTGGTAACAGATACCCGCGTCGTGCTGTGTCGTATCGAGTCGTGCATACTTTTGCTGTAAGAGTTTTGGTAGTTTTTTTTGCGTGTCTTGAAGGAAATGAACAGTTAATTTACAGATTGTTTTTCTAATTAGCTTCGGCTGGTTTTTCTCTCGCTTACCTCATTCAAACAGTGGCCATGACGCAATACACTGTCAGAAAATCAACAGACGTCGAGAATTTTATGACGTCAGTTGAACGAGTTATGACCTACACCAAGCTTGACTCTGAGCCTGGATACAAAGTAGACACACTTCCCCCGGAACACTGGCCACGCGAAGGAAACAACATTCCGCGAAGTGTCGATGATGTATTACCCGGGGGGACCTAAAGCGCTGAGGAACATAAATCTTGACATCAAAGGAGGCTCAAACATAGGTGTTGCAGGCCGCACGGGGGCAGGCAAATCATCTTTTGCAGCAGCTCTTTTGCGCATGCCCGACTTGCTCTTACTTACCTCATTCAAACAGTGGCCAACACTCAATTCGCTGTCACAAAATTATCAGATGTCGAGAATTTTATGACATCAGTTGAACGAGTTATGACCTACACCAAGCTTGACTCTGAGCCTGGATACCAAGTGGACACACTTCCCTCGGAACACTGGCCATGCGAAGGAAACATCACATTCCGCGATGTGTCGATGATGTATTACCCGGGGGGACCTAAAGCGCTGAGGAACATCAGTCTTGACATCAAAGGAGGCTCAAACATAGGTGTTGCAGGCCGCACGGGTGCCGGTAAATCATCTTTTGCAGCAGCTCTTTTACGCATGCCCGACACTGACGGAGATATTCTCGTGGATGGCTAGTAGCACGAAACGAAATGACAGCGACGCAAATCATAGAAAAAAAATTATTTAGTGGGCTTCAAAATTTGATAGATGAATCAGCAGACTCGAGACTAAACTGGAGTGGAATAGTTTCAAAGTTTAATCGCCCATGTGGATTCATATTAACAACTTACTTGCTTTATCTATAACTATCCTCTGTTTGCCCTTTTTATATAGCTCTCAAAGAAGATAATATCGTTGTCCTTAGAGTGGTCTATAAAACCGAAAATTCAAAGGTGATGGTGATCTTTAAAAAGCCGAGGTGAGGATTCTCGTTGCAACGACTGCTAAATCACTTTTCAACACAACGCGACGGCGTTCTCGACCCAGTTTCTTATCGACACTTCTGCTGCGCGCGCCTTTATGAACTCTAATGTCAGTATCTGAAGAACCGCGCACTTACCCCTCCCCTAAACCAACAACATTCCACTGATTAAAAACTTTTTAGGCTTAATGTTGGGTCAGTTACCAAAACTGATCCGCCTCCTCTTGAAGAAAGCTATTTTCATGCTTCTTGGCCTTCACTTCATTTTGAATAAATCAGCCCTAGGTAAAGAAAAGTTGGTTGAATTACATTCAAATCCTTTGGAATAAAGCAGAAAACAGTCGCGTGATATCTTTGCTAATGACAAAGTAGCAGATAGGTTTTTCCATTTTATTTCATACGTTAAAGAAAAATCCCCTTAAATTCCACGATTAAGAAACTTGTGCTCTCACTTCCATTTCAATTGTTGGAATATCGGCCAAGCAGTAAACTGGCAAATCTATTAGTTGCACATCCATCTTTGAAGCGGTTCCCATGATCCAGATTTGTCCTCAATGATCCACTGAAAAGCACCGGAGTTTGGCCAAGAGCGGATATGCATCCTCGAACTACTTGGAGATTAATATTCTTTATCTGAACGCCATCCACGAGAATATCTCCGTCAGTGTCGGGCATGCGCAAAAGAGCTGCTGCAAAAGATGATTTACCGGCACCCGTGCGGCCTGCAACACCTATGTTTGAGCCTCCTTTGATGTCAAGACTGATGTTCCTCAGCGCTTTAGGTCCCCCCGGGTAATACATCATCGACACATCGCGGAATGTGATGTTTCCTTCGCATGGCCAGTGTTCCGAGGGAAGTGTGTCCACTTGGTATCCAGGCTCAGAGTCAAGCTTGGTGTAGGTCATAACTCGTTCAACTGATGTCATAAAATTCTCGACATCTGATAATTTTGTGACAGCGAATTGAGTTTTGGTCACTGTTTGAATGAGGTAAGTAAGAGTATGAGTATGTCATACTGACATATTTTGCAAGTTTGTCTCGGTTGCGTGAACCGTGAATATGATATTATCCTCAAACAGTTCCAAATGCAATGCATATGGCTACAAGCGTATTGTTCATTTCCTGCAGAACACGATAGGAACTACAAGAAATTTAACGGCAGAACTGTACACGACTCAATACGACAATCATTTAATTGGGGCATATTGCAAAAGCACCGCTCGCAGTCAAACCGATGTCGAATTCGTCCTTATGAAGACAGTGATGAAACGGATCTCAACGACTTGTTTTGGAAGCAGTATTCACTTGGAAAGATTTATTGTACTGGCTTATCGAGTGGCAAGTTGGAGCTTTTGGGTGTAAATGAGCGTGGAATTTGCAATTACTTCTGTTAGGATCTACCTACCGGCATCTTGCATCTCTTATCTAGATACTAAAACTGCCACTAAAACCACTGAGCCAACTAACAGAGAAATGAGTACATCCAGATGTACACCGAACCACCTGCCACTCGCCGTCACCATGATAAAGGACTGGTTATGAGTGTCTTGGTAGCTGTTCAACGGGAAAGAAAATAGATCAACGTAAGTCATCTCGAGTCAAAATATTTGTCCACTCAGCAAATTCTATAAGCTTTGCGCAGGGAAAGAGGGCGGGGGAAAGAGAGAGGAGACAGCCATCACCATGATGGACGACTAGTTAGCAGTGTCTTGGTGACTGTTTGACCTTTTCACTCCCAAGATCTCATTAGTAATTCTCCTTATCATCTGGCTTAAAATTCTTATGATATTAGTTCAGAGAATTTGTTATTAGATCAACTAAGAGTTCCCTAATTAATATGTTCGTTTTTCTCATCACTTGTCTTCTTGACATTGCATTGATATTGTAAGGAGAAACTCTGTCTTGGTCACTCGCGGGAGTGAAAGGGTTAAAGGGAAACCAATTAATCACGTGAAACCATCTTAATGTGATGCTTTAGTTTAAACTGCAAAATTATTGGAACTGCACGAGACCGCTAACGAAAAAATCTTATTGTGTGGCCCAGGATGGACTAATAGATCCAGACCCAGTACCAAAATTAACCAGCCATGCAGCTTTTACAATTCTCAAGGCCTTGAAAGAGAAAGTTAGACAGAGGTTATAGTGAGAGGGAGGAGGAGGAG